TCTGATCAGACAGTGGACCCGGAAAAGCACAGCTCCCCGGCCTCTCTGCAGACAGGCCTGTGGGCATCCTCTCCCCCTGCCTGTACTTGCCTGGGTTTGGCGTGATTTGTTTTCTCTGTTCTTTCTAAAAACACACAGCTCAAAGGGGACCCAGGTATTTTTCCTGTGGATATAGAAACAGATGTCCAGGTCAAACCAGATACGTTCACTCGCAGCAGCTGCAGGCCTCGGGCATCCCGTGCCTTTCAGGTTTGGAAGCCGCTGAGAGAACCCCAGCCCGACTCCCCAGCCTGACTCCCCCAGTTTGCCCGAAGAGGAGACGCAGGGCTCACAGAGGCAAAGGGACTGTGTTTAGAAATCTCTGGGGGAACAGCTCTGGGACAAGTTACAGAGAAACGACGTGGCTGATGGAAAACACTGAATTCAGACAGACCTGGGGCCCAGGCTGGGCTCTGCCTCCTCCCAGCTGTGCAAGCCCCGGCTACCCACCCTTTCAGCTGGTGGCGGTCTGCAGGTGGGCCTCCTGCTGGCCGGCAGATGGAGAGAGGGGGCTGCCGGGAGCTCTGGGGGAGTCTCGGGAGGTTGGAGGAAGCCCGGGAGGCGGGTGAGGGAGGCGGGTGAGGCTGGGGCCTGGCCTGGAGGAAACTCTGTTAGCTGTCATGCAGGCAGGTCTGGCTCTGTGACCCGGGCAAGATTCTGTACCTTCTTCCTGAGCCTGGTTTCCTCACCTCCGAGCTTGCAGGGCGATTGTGAAGATCCAGGTTGGCCTTGTAAAGGACTTGATACCTAGCGACGGGCATGCTTGAGGTACTCAGTGAGTTGATTACTCTCAGAGGGCGGGTTGCTCCTGTGCACAGAGGGACTGCGCTGCCTGGCAGCCTGCAGTATGGAGCGGTGTTGGCTGTGTCTGCTCCTCTGCAGGGAGTGGTGCCGGGCAGCACTAGGATGTCCCAGGCGCCCGCAGGGCCTGGCAGAACAGTTTCAGGAACCATGTACAAGTCCTGAACCTCGCGGCCGAAGCCTCCCCGAATGTCTTAGGAGGCCTGAGCACCCCAACCGGTTTGCAGAATGTGTTGTCTGTGGAGAGAGGGTCCACAGCTTTCATCGGAATCTCAAGCAGGCCTTTGGGCAGCAGAGAGTCGGTCATGAAGACCCGCTGTAAGAGGCTGGCCCCAGGTGACGGCACTGACAGCTAACCTCACTCCCCAGCAATGCACGCCAGCCAGAGGCCCCAGCGCCTGCCCTTCGTGCCTGCCCTGGTCCAGCTGGGCCAGGTTCAGCGTGTGGGAGAGGCCTGGGTTCCAGGAGGTTGGGGGAGGGCTGGTCAACCTGCTAGGGGGCTGGCTCAGAACTGGGGCCCGAGGTGGTGGTAGGGGGGTTGGAGGGGTGAAGTCACAAGGGCCTGGGGAGGTCGGGGCAGAGAAATGAGGCAGGTCCACCATGTAACCTCGGGTCCTTCTCCATTAGGAAGTGGCACAGGAGAGGGGTGCGCCCTGGGGCCAGTCCTGCTGGGTCAGAAAGGCCACCAGATGCTCTTTGGGCCTTGGGTTCTGGTTGGAGGGAGGCAACTGCGGGATCTGACCTCGAAGCCGTGTTCAGAGCCTCAGGCCGTGTCCGGTGCTGGCGTGGCTGGGGCCTCTCTCTCATTTTTTTCCTTCGGATCCTCGTTGTACTTAGGTTTTTCTCATAAACCGCTGAAATCATTTTGAGAAGTAGGGGGAGTAGAGATGAAAAGGAAGAAAAGATATTTGTTTATAGAAAAGCTGTCTAGAGAAAGTGGGCTTTCCGTTATGGGATGTTCTGTTTGTTTTTCTGAAAGATACCTTTGGATGATAAGTCAATTATGCTCATTAAAAACACGTGGAAAATGTGTAGACATAAAAAAAAAAACCCAACAGGAGAAATTGCCCCTAATTGCATTATACAGACAGCCACTGCTATTGTTCTGGTATATTTGCTTCTACTCTTTACATGCATCAATGGAAACTTTTTTAAGTTTTTAAAACAAAAACTCTAGGGCACTAAAAACCCTTTATAAGCATTTGAAATACTTCAGCCCCCTTTATGGTTAGACATTGAGACCCACTTTACAATATCCTATATAATAAGAGAGGAATATGCTAATTATCCATTATGCTGTGCATGAGGCGTAATGACTGACTGTGTAAAGACCAGATCACAGATTTGCAGGAGGGTGGGGCAGCGGAGAGCTACAGGAGGGGGCAGGGCAGCAAGCCATGGGGGGAATCGGGGAAGGGGGTAGGGGGCAGGGGAGCTACAGGAGGGCTGCTGAGAGCTCCTGGTGCACGGATTCGTGCACAGGGCTGCTGGTTAGAAATGAAGCATTGCCAAGCAGCTTGGTCCATAGAGTTCTTCTCAAATGTAAGGTTATTTCCTTGAGAGAGGTGCAGAGCTGGACCTGGGAGGGGAGGCTGGGTCCGTAGGGTGGGTGTGAGTCTGCTGGGGGATGTGTGAGGGCTGCCCCAGGAGAAAGGGGCTGAGACAGCGCCGCCCCCCCTTCCCCCCGCCCCCTCGGGAGCCAAGGGACTCATCCTCTCATCTGTGATCTTGTAGGTGGGAGGGAGGGAGGAGAGGAAAGGCTTCCCAGTGACTCACTGATGGGGCCTGCAACCACTTGGACCCTCCAGGCTGACCAGGCAAAGCCCTTCAGGCCTGGTGACCACATCTCTGCCCGCCAGGGCCCTTTAGAGACGGCGGCGGCCCACAGAGCCTGAGGAGGTGTTTATGTCCGCACGGCTGGCCGCCCGGCGCACGCCCAGATGCGCTTTCAGACCTGAGCATCCTTCCAGCTTGGCTGAGCTCCGCTCCAAGGCAGGCTGGGCTGGTTTTCTCCTCAGAAAGGCTCGCCACGGGGTCAGCCAGCGGATAAACCGACGTTCCCTTAGCTGTTGTCGCTCTTTTGTTAATGAGGGGAGGACCGGCCGTGCAGGTGCCAAGCCATTCAGAAATGTTGCCCAGTTCCTGGAATCGAATGTCCCAGGGCAGGTTCTGTGCTCAGAAAAAGAGGGCAGCCGACGACGATTTTGCATCCCAACCAGACTCCCAGGGGTCCCTTGTGCTTCGCTGAGCTTTTGTTTTACTGTTTTTTTTGGAAATATTTTTCCTATGAAGTGATGCGTCTTGGACACTGTGAGAAGCGCTGGCGACCTCACAGGACTCACCGGGGAGCGGGCGCGTTGGGTGGGTGGATGCTCGGGGTGAGGCTGAGCCCGAGGCAGGTGGAGGAGCGGCAGGAGATGCTGTCCCCCGGCCTAGGGGTCGGCTGTGGAGTCACAGCCCAGGGCTGTCCTCGGTGACCACAGGGGCGGAGGGTGGGGCCTGCTGGCTCCTCTCGGACTGCGGTTTGCAGGAACAAACCTCCCATCCTCAGAGTCGCGCTTCAGAAGCACAGCTGGAGAGCCTGTGTGCTCCCGGCCCATGTCTCTTGAAATGCCACGGCCCCGAACGTGTCCACAGATGCTGTTCAAAGTGACCTCCTTTGACAAAGAAGCCAAGTGCCTGTAAGATTCGAACTTGAAACATGTCATTCAAGTCAACGTACTAGATGTTTAAAACGCATTGAGGAAACCAGATCTGACATGCCCCTCTACAAAGCGCTCTGTGAACAAGTCAGATGGAAAGCACGGAAGCGGGATGTGCCCGCAGGTGAGATCTGAGGGAGAGAGTCTTTTCTGAGTGACCCACATTCGCCGCCTGCCTGCTGTGTCCCAGGCGCAGTGCGTGACTCAGGGGGACAGAGATGTGTGAGACTGGACTTGTTGCCCCAAGGGGACTCGTGGGGGACAGACCTCGTGTGGCGAATACTGCCTGTTGCACCCAGGAGGAAAAGCTGATTCTGATTCCGGAGTTCCTGTAAACCCAAAGGGAGAAACCTTTGAGATGAGCTTGAAAAGTGAGCACCATACGGATGCTCAGGGATGTGGGAGAAGGGCCTGGGAAGCAGGGACACAGGGTTGGATGTTCGTTGGGTTCTTGTGAAGAGGGGTCCATGTGAAAGAGGCGAAGAGGAAGAGAAGGCGTTGGGATTTGCCAGGCTGTGGAGGGCTCTGACACTCATCCTAAGGAGTTTGGAATACACTGAGTGGCCAGATTATTGTGATCTCTGAACGCATAATAATCTGACCACTCAGTGTGTGTGTGTGTGTGTGTGTGTGTGTGTGTGTGTGTGTGTTAGAGGCCCAGTGCATGAATTTGTGCGTGGGTAGGGTCCAGCCAGCCTGGCCAGGGGGAGAGGACATGGGCGGTTGGCTGGCCTGCCTGTTGGTGGAACTCCTGGTCAAAGGGATACCTGTGTTTTCCGGCGTATAAGGTGACCCCCTAATTTTACAGTTAAAACATAGGTTTAGGCTTATATTCGCTGTATAAGACTACCCCCCACTTCAAAGAAAAGACGTACTTTGCCGTCAAGATCTGCAGGTAATTTTTGTGCAATTTTGGTCTTTTGCCCCCGATTTTCGGTTGACTTTTTTTTCCGTTTCCAAAAGTCGTCTTATACACTGGAAAATACGGTAATTTGCATATTAGCCTTTTCTTATATAGGATATACACTGAGTGGGCAGATCATTATGCGTTCAGAGGTCATAATGATCTGGCCACTCGGTGTATATTCCGCAGCTAAAGGGGACCCAGGGGATGGTTTCTGAGCAGGGAGCTAACTTAATTTTTAAATTAAAAACACACACACACACACACACACACACACACATGCTCATCGAAAGATTTCAGTTATACTGAGGTCCACAAGCAAAAAAATAAAAGAAAACGCTCCCGCCCCCAGTGGTAACTGCCGTTCCCCTCCGTGTCACTTTGTCCGCCTGTATCTGCAGGTCCAGACGCACGGAAGTCGAGCTGGATGAGGGAGGAAGAGGGTCTTGCCGGGCCTCCTCTCTCTCCGCACTGGGGGGGACTACCGTCCGGGGAAGCCTGTGCTGCATGGTGTCATCAGCTCACCCGGCCCCTCTTCTCTCGGTGTGTTTCAGACCACGGCTTCGTCGGCTACTCTCCGGAGCTGCTGCAGAACAACACGCTGCCCGACTACAGCCCCGGCGAGTCTTTCCCCACCGTCTTCGGGGTGTTCTTCCCAGCGGCAACAGGTATGGTCATTGGCTGGGGTCTTTTTCACGCTCACGTTGGGGGTATAAATGCTTGGTTGGTAAAACTCAGAATTGCAACAGACCTTCATAGAATGCACATCTGACTTTAGAGATGGCCTTAGCCTTGACGAAAAATCTGTTGTTGTAGCAGTGTATTGTTCATAATTCCGGGAGGCCCGACTTGATTTCATCCTCCTTAACCCCTGTACTTATGTGTGACACCTCTGGGCCAAGCAGAGAGAGCGGGGATATTTCTCTGAGGGCTAGGCAGGAGGCTTCCTCTCTACCCTGGAAGGAGTGCAAACTGGGTCAAAACTCCCCTCTCCGTCCCCTGACTCCTGCCTCGTCTCCCAGGGCACAAAGGAGTGCTGGGTCTTTTCTTACCACACTGAGTGTGGGGAAACCAGGATCCCCTTCCTCCCCCACTTTCCTGGCCTGCAGGGGCCTGGGAGAGGCCTTCCACAGCCGAGTTCTCTGCAGAACTCGTGTCCCATGCTGGGGGCCTGGACTGGAGGCAGTAAGCCAATGTATTGACCAAATGATTTAAATGATGGGGTGAGGAGGGTTGGGGGGAGGCATAGACTTAGAAAAGCATTTCACCTTTGGTCAGGCTGTGTTGATGCCCTGGAGTGTGGCTGATTTTGTCTCCTTCTCTTCCTCACCTTTTCCCTCTGCCGTCTTATATGTGGCCATTTTCTTGCTCCTCATCCTCTCCCTAAACAGGATAGGGGTAGAAAAAGGAGGAGAAGCTACTAGAATGCCAAACACTTAAAAGGCTGTCCATACCAAATGGGGACACTGGGGTGCTCACAGACTGCTAATGGGAAAGTAAAATGGCACAAACATTTTGGGAAAACTTGGTGGCTTCTTACACATTAAACATACACCCAGCCATCCCACTCCCGGTGACCTGCTGTGGAGGACGAAAGTAGGTGTCCGTCAAAGACTGTGCATGGAAGTCCACAGCAGCTTGGTGTGTAATAGTCCCAAACTGGAAACAACTCAGACAGTGGAACCTCGGTTCTCCAACCTATAATTTGCTCAGGAAAGCTGTTCGAGAAGCGAGTTGATCGAAAACAGAATAATTTTTTTCCCCATTAGAAATAATGTAAATGTAATTAATCCATTCCAGGCCCTCAAAGGATTCCCCGTTTTAACCTTCCTTATATACAGCGCATGTCCAATGCACTGTGTAATCTGTAAATAAATAAACACTTCTTACGTTTATTGCACCACCCCCTCCTGGCCTCCAAGGAGCCGCCCTCAGCACTCTGTCCAGGGGAGTCTTTCAGGTCAGCACACACAGGAAAATGGCTGTCGCTGGCTCACTGCTTTTCTTCTCTCCAAATCGGCAACAGATTTCCTACCTCTTCAATTGCCTGTGACCGTGGCTCCTTTTATACCCTTCGCAACGTTAGCACTCTTGTTGGCCTCTTCATGGTTTAAAATTGGGCTAATCATCGATTTTTTTCCCAGCGACAAAAGCTTTCTCTCCTTGGTCTGTTGCCTGAGGTGTCAGCGGGAAAGGACTGTTAGATTGAGAACTGAAGCTTGGTTAGACTCCCTAGGCATCTTTCCTGGGAACCGCTTGCTCGGGAACCCAATTGTTCAGGATGGGGGATGTTCGAGAACCAGGGTTTGACTGTATTCCCCCCCGTAGGTGAGAGGGTAAACAAATGGTGGTGTTGCCATACAATGTAAACTCCTAACCAGGAAAAAGACACAAACGATTGATTCAGGCAACAACATAGGTGAATCTCAAAATAGTTGTCTGTGTGAAAGAAGTCAGACAAAAACGAGTACCCTTTTAAAAAGATAAAATGGTAAAAACCCCATTTACAGAAGATTCTAGAACTTGCAAACTATAGTAGCAGGAAGCAGACCAGTGGATGCCTGGAAATGGGGTGAGAGAAGCAGGAGGGGGTGAACAGGGAAATTTGATGAAAAATATATTCCTTTTATTCATTTTTTTTCTATTTTTTTTTATTAAGGTATTATATGTGTACTTATCTTACCATTGCCCCCCCCCATACATGCCCTCCCTCCCCAGAGTTTTGCGTCCATTGGTTATATGTATGCATACAACTCCTTCTGTTGATCTCTTATTGCCCCCATATCTCCCTACCATCCCCGCTGTAATTTGGCAGTCTGTTGCTTTACTGTCTCTATATCTATCTTTTTGGTCATCAGTTGAAAAATATATTCCTGCTGAGTAGATGGTTTTACCGATCTACTCACCTGTCAGAACTTTTCAGATTCTCACCCTTTAAACACGTGCAGCTTGGGTAAAGTTATGCCTGGGTAAAGCTGTGACAATGAAAATAACAAAACAAAACAAAACAAAGCCCATTATCCTCCTTCCCCAGTCCCCGTGGCAATGGCCCCTTTCCTCTCCTCTTCACAGCCCAGCACAGAGCTGTGTCTGCACCCCCATTGCCATGTTCCACTCTGTTTGGAATCCCAAGCATCATCAGTTACCCCCCCCCCCAACCCCCAACAGCCATGACTCAATCCATGGGCATTTTCTTTTCTTTCTTTTTCTTTTTCTTTTTTCTTTCTTTCTTTCTTTCTTTTTTTTTTTAAATATATATTTTATTGATTTTTTTTACAGAGAGGAAGGAAGAGGGATAGAAAGTTAGAAACATCGATGAGAGAGAAACATCGACCAGCTGCCTCCTGCACACTCCCTACAGGGGATGTGCCCGCAGCCAAGGCACATGCCCTTGACCAGAATCGAACCTGGGACCTTTCAGTCTGCAGGCAGACACTCTATCCACTGAGCCAAACCGGTTCCGGCATCCATGGACATTTTCAATGTGTCCATGTGTTGGGCCTCTAGGAGCTGTCCACTTCCTCCTCCTCTTCTCTCACCTTTAATGACACAGCACCCTCCCAACCCCCTCTCCCCTCCCCGCAACGACTCCCTGACCTGCCATTATAGGTACGTCCTCTTCTGCCTGCCCATTAAGTGTTGGGGTTCTCCAGGCTAAGCCCGGGCCCCCTTCTCTCCTGTCTCTGCTGTTCGTCTTGGAATTGCATCCATGCCCATTGTTCACTGACCACCCACAAAGCTGATGACTCCCCATGGATACCTCCACTCCAGACTTCTCCGAGCGTCACATCCTAGGTTCAGTTGCCCACATGACACCTTCTCTTGGGTGTCTCAGACCCAGCATGTTCAGAACCCAACGCATCCCACCTCCCCCGCAGCTGGTTCTTCTTCTCTACTCCTGATGTCAGGAAATGGCACCTCATACCGGCGATGGGGAACCACCCAGTCCCTCCGCCTCTGTCCCTCTGTACTACCTGGCCCCTCTGGCCCTAGCTTCTTCTCTCACCTGGACCACTGCACTGGCCTTCTATCCGATGCCCCTGAGGCTTGGCCACGGGCCTGAGGCTGGAGCTGGATCTCAGAAGTGACGGGTAGAATCTCGGTCCTCAAATCCAGGTGTGCCAGAAATAGCGCATCGCTTTCATTTCCGTGAACTGAAAAGAGAGTCAGCCTCTGACTCGGAGCCTTTATTCTTCCAGGATGGCAGATAGCTGACGTCAGTCATTGGTCTTGCCTCTGCCTTGCCCTGCCATTGTTCCAGGGTCTTGGGATCTTACCAAGTACCAGGGCACGTTAGGGGGGGCTCTGGATATTCATTTTCTGGACACAGAGCCAGGTCTTCCCATTTTCCAGTCTGCACATCTCATCAGGTGTGTGCTTTTTGCTACTTCGGAGACACTTTTGGGGACTAGAAATCTGCTAAGCCCAAGATCCTATCCTTAGAATCTATGCATCTCCCCGACCTTCCTTTCTGAGGTCTTGCTCGGTCCCCACTGGTGCTGCCAGGGAGTGGGCCCCAGGTCCTCATTGCTCCAAATCCTGTGGGCTTTGCTCTCCCTGCCCCCAGCTCCGGAGGCAAGCTTCTGTCCTAATCCTGGGACCACCCTGTCCGGGGCTAGCTTCGTGGGTATGAACCTGTGCGTTCACACTGTACCCCGAGCACTAAGGGGCCACATAATGGTTCCATGCTTTGCTCTTGGTAAAAAGTTTACTTGTTCATAATTCCTGAAGAATTTAACATAATTCAATCCTCCTTAACACCCTGGGCCGAGAGAAGAGAGGGGACATAGTTCTTAGTAATTTTTAAACAGGGGATGCTATCTTTTTATTTGCACGGAAACCTGCAAACTCTGTTTTTGTCCATCCATGCTTTCCCTATCCTCTAAAAATCTCCTAAGGGCCCAGGCCTTTCAGAAACAGAGCCCCAAATAGTACGCAGGCAAATTCTATTCTTCCCTGACACAGCACCCCAGGCAGTAAGGCACAGCTGCCCTCTAGCAACATGGGTTTGAACTTCCCTTATTGGCAGATTTCCCCCCATAAATGCACACAGCACTGTAAATGTATCTTTTTGTCCCTATGATTTTCTTTGCTCCAGCTTCCTTTTTTGTAAGAATAGAGTATATAAAACATATCACACAAAGTATGTGTTAATCACTGTTTATGTTATTGCCAAGGCTTCTGATCAATGGTAGACTAATAATAGTTCAGTTTGGGGGAAGTTGGAAGTTATATGTGGATTTTTTACTGCATGGGGGGCTGGCACCCTTAATCCCTGCATTGTTCAAGAGTCAACTGATAGGTTAACTCCCTTTTGAATGGACAGAAAAGGAAAGGGGGAAACAAAATAAAGGAAATTAACTTTAAAATGTTAACATCTGGCCTAACTGGTTTGGCTCAGTGGATAGAGCGTCGGCTTGCGGACTCAAGGGTCTTGGGTTCGATTCCCGTCAAGGGCATGTAGCGTGGTTGCGGGCATATCCCCAGTAAGTGGTGTGCAGGAGGCAGCTGATCAATGTTTCTGGCTCTCTATTCCTCTACCTTCCTTTCTGTAAAAAAATCAATAAAGCCAGGACCGGTTTGGCTCAGTGGATAGAGCGTCGGCCTGCGGACTGAAGGGTCCCGGGTTCGATTTCGGTCAAGGGCATGTACCTTGGTTGCGGGCACA